GGGGGGGGGGGGGGGTTGGGGGGGGGGGGTTGTTTTGTTTTTTTAAGATACTAGCATCTTAAATCAGATAAAGGCACTAAAACGCCAAAGTTACATAAAACTGTATTGCATAAGCACAGCATTCCAGCTGTTAGTAATTCTGCTTTATAAACAGCTGGGGTAGAGCAATTTCAGTTAGTAAGTAAACTAAAGAAAGAAAAAAAAACATGTAATTACGCAGCAAAAAAATGAACATAAGAATTAGACAGCTTTGCAACCACTGTCTTTGCATCTAAAATATCTGCTTTTCACTTATTTCAACAAACTTTTTTTCTAACAAAAAAACAAAACAAAACAAAAAAAAACTGACTGGCATGCATGTTATATAAAGTTAACTAAAATATTTGCATATAACTTTTACCCCGTTCTGAAGTTGGATCTGTCTTTTTTTTATTTTCAGGACAAGCACCACTGAAGATGATCTCTCAGTATTTCTGGTTACAAGCAAAGCCAAATAGCAAAATTTCTAATCTTCCAGAGAATAAAGTATTATCAGCCAAAGATGCATTAAAAACACATCTGTTTAATATTGATTATTACTGCCTTCTAGTAAAAATGTAAACAATCTTGCACAGATTTGCCCTATTATCAGTAGCCAGAGTTATTATGATTATGATGTAGTCAATATGCTTCTTGAATAACAGAAGTCTTCAAAGATAATCCAATGCACAAGGTATAATAGGCAATAGATCAAGTTTGGCTTAATTCAGTCTTTTACTTCTGAAGAAAATGAGAAATATTTTGCTACTTTTAGCAATCCCTAGTGAATGACTAAGAGAAGCCACAACAACAGCAAAATAATTCAAGTTGAATGGTTAAAACATGAACTCAGAAATCTGGCAATTTAGCATTGTCACTTACCCTTTCTAAAATGGGGAAAATGCATATTTCACAGAAATGGTGAGGCTTAACAAGCAAATAAGACTGCAATTGGGTCCACATTATAAATTCACTTTCACCCCATGCTTATATCCAAAAAACCCCCGCATATTTAAAAATGTCAAGGTTAGGAGTGTTCAACTTCTTTGAAGTGAACTGGAGAAATGGTTTCTGAATGATAACACCCTAAAATCAGAAGTTTTTTTCCCCTATATGGTAAATGAAAAAGGGAAGAGATTAAAAGAAAAGACATTTTAATGGACTCATCCAAACGGGATCTAGTGACCAATGATTAACTTTAATATTGAAAAGAAAAGATTTTAAGTATCATTCCTGCCTCAATGATCCTAAACTAGCCATTCAATGACAACTCACCCTTTCATTTAAAATAAGATAAAAGGTAGAGGCTGAATAGAGAGAAAACTCAATATGTGAATTTATGGAGACCTGTCTATGGATAAAGAATTTTACCCACCAAAATTAAATTAAAATAATAATCACAATTAGATATTATTTTGCCAAGCTCTAAGCCTGAAAATAGAAAAAGATTATTAAAATTTATTAGATATATTATATTAATTTAGTTTAATGTATTAGATTAATTTAGTTTAAGGGGAAAAATACCTCCCTGCTCTGCTTCCTTTCAAGCTTCTGCCAGTCACCGTATACCCCTGCTATACAGAAAAATGTTAATATGATAGAGGCTAGGTTCAATCTCAAAAACAATATTTCCTGAAGTCTAAAAGTGGATATAGCCTCCATCTTCCCTTGGAACCAGCAAGTATCTTAAACAACGCCATCTGCCTCAGAACTCTTGGTTGCAAGCTTGATGGCCCTCATCCCAAGTATGAGAAGAACCACCGATACCAGGAGATTCATATTAAAATGAGTCCCTACCAAGAAAGAGGGCTAAGGATTGGAAAGAGGCAGATAATTGCTGAAGTTCACTTGTCTGCTTACTAAAACCCAACAGTGGGCAGAATAATGCAGCCAGAGTCCAGAGATACAGAAATGAATGTGAATAAAAAATGTACTAAAGCTTACAGGCAGTACACATCAAGCTGGTGACAAAGCCAGACGTTATATCTATCTCAGATGACTATTTGCTTTCTTGTCTAAATCTGAAGCGCAGCTTTTGTTGAGAGGGCGGCAGGGGTGGATACTGTTATTGGTAAAATTGTCTTCTCTGAGCAAAGTGGGAAGAAAAAGATGTGGATGAGTGCTTCTGTATTTTCATTCCTAAAAACTGGTGCACCCACCACCACCAGCAGCAAATGTTCTCTCTTTGCTTGTTGATAAATAGCCAAACCCCATCGTATCTCTTTTTCCTCCTGGAGCCTCATCAATTCTGGTGTTAAAAAAATCTCTCTCACTAAAAAGGAAGACCTTCCATTTTAGATTTGGTTTAAGGAGAAAGCTGATGATTTGGGCCAGGCATTTTTCCAGGTGGAAATGGCAGAAGCCACCGCCCTGCTGCAGTCTGAAAACTCAATATACATTCTTAAGGTGCATTTTTTAATATAATCATTCACAAGCTTCCTTCGTTCTTCTGGAAGTTTTAACAAATAAATACTTTCATTTTTCCCTAAAAATGGGATTGTAGGGTGTCATTTCTTGGCATTATACCAGAAAAAAAAAAACTTTCTTCTTTCCAACTGTATCTAGTGGAGGTGAAGGACACTACTCTGCCCTTAGATTTATCAACAGTTGCCAAGGTGTTAAGGATGTATGAAAATATGACAAATTCCTGTGGAGAACTGATAGGATTTACCTGATTTGTTGAACACCTTGGTCGAACTGAAGTCAGACTTGCCCAGGTAAGTCTTGCAGGTTACAAGAGTAACACAAAAAATGTAATTCTATTAAATGAATGATAATCCAAAAGGTCAACATCTCTTCAATCTGCCATTCTTTCCACTAATTCACAAAAGACACCACCAACCACTTGAGATGGAGTTGCTACAACTATACAAGTATTACACAAATTTCTCTTTAAGATTTAATAATATTATCTAGGCACTTTTCTAAGAGAAGACCCAAACCAAAGCTACAAAGTAATTCCTACTTTTACACTGAAGGCAGAGGCAAAGGATCAGAGCTGGCTGTGGTGACAGGTCCTTTACTGCCATGTCTCTTGAACATTTGGAAAAGTGGAGGGAGAGTTGAGAGAAAAGTTTAAGACAGCTCCAAAAAGGTGCTGGAAGTTACACCTCCACTGTCAGAACCACACCAAGCTGAGTGGCAGAGGCCAAACAAAGAAAAAAGCCTCAGTTTTACAGGGAGGCCAAAATGCAGCTGCCAGGAAGTTTAAATGCAGCTTCTAAAGAAACAAAAGTAGAAGAAAAAGTATGTTTTTATTTAACTCTACATACATTAATTGTGTTGGTACTTTGATTTTCTGTTTATTACTTATTCCAATAATGTGTTTAATGACAAATTATTTGAGCTGAGATGCAGTGCCCAGACTCAAGGGACACAAGAGTCAATGATTTCATGTCCTGTACCATGTCATGATTTTGTTTTGCAGTTTGAGAAGTTAGAAAGTTTGCTCCCCTCCTCCCCACTAGGTTATCACATCCACCTCAAATTTTATAATGATAAATGTTTCACATAAAAAAGCATTATTACACAAATGTAACTGAGTGTAATTCAGATTGTTTTGCAATAGCTGGTATCATTATATGAACATTCTTACCTTTTTTTCTTCTTTAGACTTTCTAACATTGTGCTGTGGGCCAAACTTGTTTTGCATGCAAAACACTTTCTTAGACCATTCATTTTTGTGAGATTTTAACTGGGGCTGACCAAAGCTGCCATCGACTCTGTATCTGTCAGCTGGAATCTTATTCATTGGTGGGGGAAGAGTCCCACAGTTAACACTGGACCAGCCATCTGTAGAATCTGTATAAGACTCCTGGTCACTGGCATTTCCATGCTGCCAATCTTGTAAAACATGAACAGGCAACCATCTTTGATTGCCCATGCCCATAGTACTTTTCTTGGAGGGTGGCACTGAATTTCGGGAAGAAACTAGTGGAACTTCTATACGAGCTGCAGGACTCAAGTGCTTGCTTAAATTTTGTGGTTTATCATTCTGAATTACTTCTAAAGGAGCGTTTCCTTCTTGCTCATGACAGAAGCCATTCCAATGGGCAGCAGATTGATTTTGCCCTCTTCCTCCTGGATTTTCCCATATGCTATTAGGAATGTGTTTACTTGGATTGCTCCCTAAGTCAACCACCAAAACTCTGTTGCTTTTTTCTTCTTGGTTAAAGTTTCCAATGCCACTGTCACTGTTACTGCTTGTACTATTATTCTGATGGGCATCTATATCACCATCAAGAAAAGCCCTGGCTCTCATTCCCTCAATCAACTCCCCCATGTCCCTATAGAGGACAGAGATAAACTGAAGAACAGGTAAAGATGATGTTGGAAATTCTAAACAGCCATTTGTGTCTGGATCTGCTGTACATTCTAGTCCAAAACGTCTTGCTATACCCTGATGAATTTTATGATGAAATAATTCTGGATCTACCATAAACACATGACAAGATGTCCTTAGAACTCCTTCATCTTCCTGAGCCAAGCTTGCATCATCACTGCTCTGCATTGTAACTAGCCCAAAAAATCTCCTATCATCAGGGCACACCGCACTGAATGCGAGCTTCTCTGCAGGATACTCTGCCACTATACCAGATTTATCACTGCAGAGCTGAATGCAGTCATGCATAATCTTCATCATCACCAAAGAATGGATTTTCTGTTCTGCCCGAAGACGTCTCATACATCCACGAATAGCCTGCAAACTGTCACTTTCCAGATTTGCAGTTGTTGAAGGCAGTTCAATTGAGCCTAGGTAGCCTACCACCATGGCAACATTTAAAATACTTGCATCTAATCCAAAATCCTCTGGATTCTCTAGTCCAATTCGGAAAACTGAATCATCATTCAACACTTTGGATATTTCTTCTTTAGAAAGTTGATTTGGATTGAGACTTACACCTTCAGTTCCAGTTTCAAATATAGCAGCAGCAGACTCTGAAAGGGATCTTTGTTTTGGTATAGAGTTTTCTGTATTCCCAGCACAAAGACTAGGATTTTCAAAGATCATGTTGAAAATTCCACCAGATTGCATTTCTTCAACAACCTTTTCTGCTCTATTTATGCCTAAGGCTTTAGAATCAGGCTTTGGCTTCAGCCACCCTTTCCCATCATAAAAACCAACTTCTTCATCACTTGAGCAGGAGTCTATGTGACTAATACCTTCAGCAATCACCATGTGTAGGACTCCAGAACATTTTCCTATTAGTTTCACCACATCTTCATGAGACGCCTTTTTTACATTAATATCATTAACGGCAAATATCTGATCTCCAGCTTTAAGTCCCACATAATCTGCAGGGCTTCCTTTCATAACACAACTAAGAATACAAGGGGCTTGCCCAGAAAGGGTAAACCCATAGCCAGCTCTTCCTCTAGCAACTTCTACACTTCTTATTCGAGGAGGAGCATGCATATTAAGACGACGTTTAACTGTTTCCCCTGGTCTATACATTGTGGTTATTTTCTGAAACTGGAAGATCTCCTAATTAGTCCAAATCATTCTTGTTCATTGTGTCAGGAGATAATAGGAAAGAAGTTGCAATTTCTTCGTCTGATGAAATCCTAAAAGAAATTAAAAAAAGATTTGATACTTATCAATACCCTGTTTCTCTTAGTGATCAGGAATATATTTATCAACATTGCTACAGAAGATAAATCCTAAAATATTGGCAAAAGAAAGAGGTATTTGCTACTTTACTAAAGCCAAAACAAAAAGGTATTACTGAAACATTCCGTGTAGATAACAAGGCAATTTGCAAAGGTAATTGTAATAATTTTTCAGGTGGGAAATCAAAGATGACAAATGAAGTGACCTGCCCAAATTAACAAAACAGCTTAGTGGCAAAGTCTAGAATAAATCTAAGTCTCCTGGCTCTTAGCCCAATGTTCTTACCGTGGACTAAGTTGCCTCCCTTCAAATTAAATGCATATATACTTGTAACAGGGGGACTTCCCAGGGCCAGTTAGAAGTTGGCTCACTCACCTGTTTCTGGGCTAACCACCCACCTCTCTCGCCTGCCATGCCTTGATGATATATAATTATGGTGTTAATTAGGCAGAAGGCTGCCCATTTTTGCACCCTGATGCCAGGGGACACTATCTGTGGCTCCGAAACCTTCCCTACCCTACAGCCCATGTCTCACAGATGGCATCTAAGTTCTTGATAGCTCTGGCCCCACACTGGGACCCATAACCCTCCAGTCTGGACCCCAACTAGATCCCTCCTATCAGGCAGCCTACTCCGCCCTCCGACCTCAACAGATCATCGAGTCCAACCCCCTGCCATGGGCAGGTCAGATGACCCCAGCCAGATGCCTATCCAGCCATCTTTTAAAGACCCCCAAGGTAGGGGAGAGCACCACCTCCGTTGGAAGCCCATTCCAAGATTTCGCCCCCCCTCACTGTGAAAAAGTTTTTCCTGATTTCTAGCCTAAATCTGCTCTCTGTGAGTTTGTGACCAAAGACTACCCCTTTCTCGTCCTGTGGATATTTCAGCTATCCTAGAGTTTAAGTCCCCTAACATATGGCTACCATTTTAAGATCTTTTTGCATCGTGTTCCAGTCCTAGACAGAAGGGGAAAGAAAGCAGGTCTATTTTCATAGGGTCTAGATCCCTTACCAGCAGACCAGGATCCAAATGAAAGCAGGAGCACAGCTTTTTGCTTCTGTTCCTACACAGCCAACCTGTGTTTGTGTTATGTAGTTTAGGGGAGTATACTGGTCTTCCCTTTTCTTCGTACTTTCAGATATACCTTCAGAGGAATACTTTATACAACCTTTTATATGGTCTTTCTGTAGACTGGCTTCCTCTCTTATTCATGTTATCCTTGTTTGCTGTCTTCTATGAGCAATTACTCCTTAAACCTTTGTTAGGGCACCTAATACTTTATCTACATTCTTATATCATAGCTAAATCATAGAAACCGCATACCTTGGAGGTGATGGGAAAGAAGTTGCTGTGTCCTTCTCATGTTTTCTTCCACATTTCCTGTTTATGTAATTTTTCTCACCCCTCTCTTCCTTATTCATCCTTTCCCACCACCCCTTTCTTTATTCTCAATAGTTCTAATAGGTTGTTCTGCAGACCACTACTTGCTTATTTTAAAGTAAGGGAATGAGCACGATGCAGACATTGTTGTTGTCCCACATGCTCAGTCAAGCATAGATTTTGGGGTAGATGTGATTCATTTTGCGGTCAGGTGAATAGTCTGATCCACTAACATGAAAACTTTAAACTGACTTTTATGAATTAAATTTGCATAACTCATCTATTTATACCAGGTGGTTTGTGTGCCAGTCTGCCTAGCTACAGTTTTATTTTTTAAAAAGCCTAGGGCGTATAGGTGAAATTGAGCCTGCAAAGCAGTTTAATCTGGCTCATGAAGGTCCAATCCAGCATGGAGGCACAGGCATTGGTAGCATGGAGCTGTGCCATGCTGCCCCTCCCCTCCTCTGTTGAGTCTGCTGCTCTGCCATGTCTGTGCTTCTCTTGCTGCAGAAGGGTTGGGTATCTAGAGTGAGAGTGAGTGCAGGTAGCTGGCTGATCCCGGGGTAGAGTCTTGCAGCCAGTCCGCAGCAATGGCTGGGTCTCAAGCTCTGGCCCATGCAGGCAAATGGTTGTAACCCCTGTTATAGGTTACAAACTCACAGAGAGCAGATTTAGGCTAGAAATCAGGAAAAACTTTTTCACAGTGAGGGGGGGCGAAATCTTGGAATGGGCTTCCAACGGAGGTGGTGCTCTCCCCTACCTTGGGGGTCTTTAAAAGATGGCTGGATAGGCATCTGGCTGGGGTCATCTGACCCCAGCACTCTCTCTTGCCTATGCAGGGGGTCAGACTCAACTTTCCTGCCCATGGCAGGGGGTTGGACTCGATGATCTGTTGAGGTCCCTTCCGACCTTAGCATCTATGAATCTATTCCCTCCTAAGCAGGGAGCACTGAGACTAATGGGGGGCACGTGGCAGGAGAGGCAGGCACCACTGGGGGGGGGCAGGCAGGCTGCAGGGAGAACGGGGAGTAAAGGGCCTACCCCTCCGTGGCTGCCTGCCCCCACCAGCCCCCAGCCTCCCTACCACTGCTTTCCCCACTGTAGCAGTGGAGGGAACAAATTTAATATGACCCTGTGATAATTAGATTCTATACCTAGAAAATTATAACAAGTTTATAAAATGTTCCATATATAAAATCTAGTTATTGTGGGGTAGTTTGAAATTTGAAATCATTGTAGCTTTGGGTAAATGCAGCATTTTGTTTACTTAACTATTAAAATACCACTCATTAATCAGTTTAAAGGTATACATGTGCAAAACAATGTAAATAAAGTTAGTTGGTAAATTCAATTAGATTCACTGAATTTTGTGTTCTTGCTTTTCAGTTTGAAAACCTGAAAAACTACATAATGCACTCCATTTACATTCTTTAATCATAACTAGATACAATGGATATTTAATTATAAATGGGACAGGGATAAAAACCATAAAAATACTATCTTTTCTAGAGCATAAGATATATATTTTTCCCCGAAAAAGAAGACCCATAATTAAGGCATATCTTATACACCAAAGCTACATAATGAAAAATAAATTAAATCATTGTTATAATAGTAGTAGTAGTCAGTCAAATTTATAGTAAAAAAAAAAAAAAAAAAAAAAAAAAAAAAAAAAAATCCCACAATTTTAAACCTTTTTGGGAGGCGGGGGAAGGGAAGGAGTTGTCTTATGAAAAACTCTCTCTCATACACTAGAAAACTACAGTAACAAAAAGTTACTTTATTAGAATAATCACAGAAATGCACAAAAAATTGCCAGTCAGAAGTCATTCTAACTTCCATGTGTTTTAGTTTAAACTAAAACTTCCAAAAAAGTAAACTCCACATGCTTCCAGTATTAACAGAGTTGGCAATGAAAACCAGTAACTTTAAAAAATAAGTGTTTGAAAAAGCTATAAACAATGGATTTCAGTAATATCATATAGAAAGAAGTTATCTTAAACTAATTGTTGAGGTTTACATTGAAACCTGGATGCCTAACAGGCCTGCTCCACATACAGCACTCATATAAGCTGAGTTATTTCAGAGGAATGCCCATATCTGATTGGGTTAAAATGCCTTAAAATCAGGGGTGGGCAAAATGCAGCCCACAGGGAAGGATGCGGCCCGCCAGGCCATTCCATCCAGCCCACGAGGCCCCTAAAAAATTTAGAAAACTAATACTTGTCTGCCCCAGGCTGCCTGTCATGTGGCCCTCAATGGCTTGCCAAAACTCAGTAAGCGGCCCTCCGTCCAAAATAGATGCCCACCCCTGCCTTAAATTAAAAAAAACCCAGCATAAAACAAAACCAACACACCCAAAGAAGCAGAAAGTTATTCAATTTTAAAAAGGCTCTGCCTACTACATAAGAACTCTAACATCTGTAAATTGCAATGAGCACACAAACTATATATTTTAATTCAATTTTCTGAACTAGCAGTAGGTGGCTTACTACATAAAACTATAGAAATCATTAAATCTGTGCAACTAAAACTAATTGTGAAATGTAGCCTTTTTAACAGATCAAGTTCTGCTCTTAAAATATTAATTTATGAAGAAATACAAAGCTATAAAAATCAAGATGTGAATGTAGAACAAAGAAGTAAAACCAGCAGATCTGCGATATCCCTGTAGTACCCCTAGAGAAGTTTAAAGTAGCTTGAAAAGATTGTTTTCTAAATAGTTGCATCAAATAATTGATGTGGAGAATCTTCTTTAAAGCACCAAAATAAATTCTGTCTTCAGAAAAGGTCACTTCTAATAATAAGTGTTTAAGAGAAGAGCTGGCCAGAGAACTCTCCAAATACTTCTGTAGTAGTGTACTTAAGACTGTGATCAAAAAAGATTTTAAAAGACTACTGGTGACATTTTGTTTCATGATTCATGAATTAAAATCTAGTCATCTGCCTGTCTACCCCTCCAGCAGCAAGAAGGGGAAAACCTTTAAGGCAAAGGAAATACCATCTAAAATATGAGGGCCTGAAATGCATACAGGCAACCCCCACTAAGCGCTCTTAATTGGTTCCTAAAAAACTGAGTGTTAAGCAGAAGAGCTTTAAGAGAAACCAAAAGTTTTTGATGAACCGAGATGGCGACCGTGAGTGTTATAACAAAACTTACTGAGTGCTAAGTGGAATTAGGTATCAATGTAAAACAAGTGTTATAGCAAAATAGCACTAAGCAAAACAGTGTTAAGTGTGAGTTGCCTGTAGTGCCTTTTCTAGGAAAGTTACACTGGATAGGCTTGTTTTCAATCTCTAGAAGCCAAACAGACTATAAAAGCTTGCAGAGACAGGGCACGTCTATACAAGAAGTTTACTGCGCAGTTACCTAATTAACTGTGCAGAAAATGTTGCAGTGTCTACTAAAAGGGGCATGGGGGAGCAGATCAAGGCCCCCATGGTGAGGGAGGGAGTAAGGCAGGGGCAGGCACCGCACGGCTGGGGTGGGGCAGGGTGTGGGACGAGCTGCAGCTTGTCCAAGTGGGGAGTGGGGAGGTGCCATCAGTCACTGCACGCACCCCTAGGAAGGTGT